TGAGAAAGCTCCAGCTACGTGTGATGGCCGGTCTCGGCAAAGAAGATGCCCTGCTTGCCGTGCGCCAGCTTGAGCAGCTTGGACAAGATGAGCTCATAGAGCAGCACCAAGTCAGCGATGTGAACGTGATCCCACTGGGCCTTTCCATCTCCAATGACCTCCGCCTGGCCGGCCTTTATGGCCGAACGGAGGATTGTGGGCGCCTGGATGGACAGTTTGTTGAACAGTCCCCTGCCGATGCCGAAGATTGACGGGGGCATGACGATGTAGGTCTTTACACCGAGTTCCACGCCCGTCTCGAAAACCGCGACGTCGGTTTTGCGCTGGATGTAGGATTCCCTGGCCTCTCTTTCGCACTCGTAGCTGTAGATGTCGTTCTTGTCCGAGAAGGTGCGCGGTTCCAGGTACTGCCCTGTGACCGGGCGGTCTCCAAGGCTCGACGTTCCTGACGTCTTGACAGGGCCATGACACATCAGATATATGATGGGTTCGGTGGAATGGCCAAGCAAGAAAGTGGGTACATGAATGAAATGGGTCTCCTTGCCGGTTTTTTGCTGGCGGTCGGCAAGACCCTGAATCATGGCCTTGCAAGCGTCAGACGCGAACGAATCCGCGGTGTGGATGATCACTGAGAACGCATCCCATGTTAGCGGACTGTTACACTTTTGATGGAGGATAGGGGAGGGAAGGGGAATCACCATCATAGTCACTGGCAATCTGCCTGGTTTGAACGGTGTCCTGAAAGCCGGCGAAGACGACTGGCTCAATGCCCTCCTTTTTCAGGCTGTCCGCCTGGTGCCGGGCCGTAATCGGCGGCGGTCCGCCGGAGGGCAGCCGATTTCGGCAGGACAGCTGCCGGACAACCCCTGGATGCCCACACAAGCCGTACCTGCGCGGTTAGGGCACTGAGGCCAGTGTTTTCTTTGTGAATTTCTCTGTTTTCCGTGGAATGAGCCAGCTTTGTTACGACGATGATGACGATGGCAACCGCGTGTAGATTAAGCTGAGTTCACTAGGTTCGTTGTTTGTGAGAGGACGTGTGTGTCCACGTCTCCTTCCAGGGTGGGATTCGGGCGCACCCGCAGGCAGAGGGCCACCAGGCAGTTGTTCAGAAGGCGGTCGCGCATGGCTCGGCACGTGGTGGCCAGGCACATGTAGTCGCGCGCCCGGTGGGCACCGTTCCTTGGCCGAGACACTGCCAGGACGGTAGACGGTAAATAGACCACACTTTCCACCCGCGCACCTCTTTTCACCTGTTTTCCACCTTTTGAGGTGGTGAAATGGTGCACAGGCGCCCTTGGTGGGCAAAAGGTG